ATATGCTTCGTGAAGTAAAAGATATTATGAGGGGTGGAAAACACGTTGATAAATTCCGTATATTGAAAATATTGTGCTTGACAGATAGGAGAAGATGAATATTCCTTTGCATTGTCTTGGGTTTGTACTAACACCAAAGTTTTATGATACCTAATATCTTACTAAGCTAGCACTAGGAGGTATAGTTAGGAAAACTCCAAATCAGGATAGGGAGGTCATCACAGGTGTTATGAAAGTTTTTGAAAAGATAGCAGAAGATGTAGAAGAAGCGAAACAATTGTGAGAATAGTATGCACATTTTTACTAGCGAAATGGTCTTTATGCAATGGCGGCGGCTCAAATAGATGCTGTGACCATGGATGCTATTGATTGGTGGTCGACATATGATTCAAAAACTCAAGAATTACAAGTTATTTATTTCTATTGTTAATTATCATTATTAATGTGTCTTATTATTTTTTCATAAAAGGTGTTATCACAACCGATTACAAGTTCTTTAGCTGAAAGAAATTGGAGCACGTATTCATTTATTCACAATGTCAAGAGAAACAGATTGAATTCTACCATAGCTGACAAATTGTTTTTTATCTATTCAAATTTTCGCCTCTAATCACGTTTTAGTGAAAGCTATAAAGATGTCCTTTTAAGAAATGGGATATAAATCCAGAACACACATATATAGATGATTCTAGTGTGAGATTGGAGGATTTGCGATGGAAATCCTTTGAGGATGACAATACAGATAGTTCTACCATTCCTTGAAACGAAGTTTGGGAAGGTTCATCCTTACATGCTTCTATGCCTGTTTCTATTGACAAGCCACCTACTAGTTCTACCAGGCCACCTACTAATCCTAGCAGGCCACTTCTCCGTCATTCTAGACTGCATCAGACTCAAATTAGTAATTTTGCAAGAGGAGGGAACACTACAAAAGATAAAGGGAAAAAAGTTGACAATTAACTCGTGTGCTCCAATTTTTTCTTATTATTAAGTAGTTTTTATTTGAGACTTGTTAGATGTTTAAGAGTGTTATTTTGATTTGTGCTTCAAGTAGGAAGCTATTTAATAGCTCTCTAGTATGTTATTTTTTAAATTTTAAGTCTTTGAATTTATATTTTGTCTTTTTTTGATAATAAAATATGCAATCATTACTTTTTAATAAATGATTATTAGTTGATATGTTGTTGGTCTTGATTTGCATTTTTATAATGTATAAATTTATATAATTATTTATAATAATGAAAACGATCCAGCTAATAGTTCAAAGCGAACTGCGACCCAAAATAGCGTACTAACTAAGCCTCTACCCCCACTACATCGCGCACCGAAAAAAGTAACATACCCCGCACCTGTATCTATACCACGTACCCAACCGACCCGCGATCCAGGTAACCTGGTTTAGATTTTACTCTATTGTTATATCTGTATCAAATCGTACCCATATTCTGTATTCGTATCTGTGCTTGTTAGGTATGATCTCTCCACATTAACACAACTAACATTCAGATAAAAAAATCCATCAAAATAGCCATCATGATCAACAACCAACAAAAATCAAGGAAGAGAGTGTAGCCAATTTATCCTTGAAATGCAGTAGTAGCGTTGAGCAGCCAACATAGTTACTATGACACACCCAACAAACTGTTAACCCATACATACTATTTACGCTTTTCATGCAGGATTTAGGCTTTGCAGGACTCATGGGACTAGACCTCCATTGGCGACAAAATAGTGATTACAAATGAAGAAAAAGAAGTGAAATCAGATGGAAATAAATAGGAAGGAAGGACAAAAAGAGAATTAACAATAAATACTTGGGTTATCTATTGGAAATTCTTAGGATGAGTGCAATGAGACAATTTTAAAATGAGGGTAAATAGAAATTGGTAAAAGCAGAGAAGAATGTCTTAGAGAGGATACTAAATTCTATTTCTCCATCTCAATCTCTACATATGTATAATAATTCAGACTAATATACCCCTCGGAGTTGTACTTATAACAGCTATACCATAACCAGGATTATATTCTGTAGCATCAGACATCGGTGATGATGTATTTTTTTTCTATTTACTGTCCCAAAATTTGGAATATGGTACTAGTCCCAGGAGCTGGATGGTCAATGTGAGGGCAACCTGGCTGTAATGTTGTGGGTTATATGTGGATCAATTGCTGGCTGTTCCTTTTAACATTTCTTGAGAAATAAAATACGTGTTCTGCAGTATTTTGCTAATGTAACACAGCTATTATTTTCCAGGGTAATTTTTTGACAATTAGTTTCCAATTTTTATGTATCTACATGTTTCGATATGCAAAATCCCTCTTATATTGACAAGAATTGTAGGTTGCAAAGGAACTTCGTGAGAGGGAAATATCAGCTAGTCATTATCATGCAGATATGGATGTAAAAGCTCGCGAGAAAGTTCATTTGCGGTAAAGTGATTTTTCTGTTGATTTTAGTTGCCGATGTTAATGTTATGCAGCCCACCACATTTATTTTATTTAGGTTTCTTCGTACTTTCCACAGGCTATTGTGTGCACACTCTGCTGTGGCCTACACTTAAGCATTTTCATTTTTAGCATAAAATCTTAATGACTATTGTGATTACCAAGGTGTTGAATCCTTTTGGGTTTCTTTCGGTCCAGAGCAAAGATGCAATTTTCTGATAGGAAATAAAGTTGAAATGTTGGAAAAACATATGATAATTAGTTCAAGTGTTTTATGTGTTTCATAAAAGAAAAAAGAAAGAAACATATCAAACACTTAATACATAGCTATTAGTTCTTAATTACTAATACTCAATTAAACTCAATAAATCTTTTATCCCAACTATTTGGAGTCGGCTACATAAATCCAGCTTCTCCATTGTGCTCTATCAAGGATTATATTTTCCGTTAAATGGTGAGCTATTATTTCATTTTTTTCTATTTCATTTAAAGTTAATTTCAACATACGTCTCCCTTTCGCATCAATCTCAATACATATTAGATCTTTCTTCCTCACTAGTGCATTACCAGTTAATTTATAGACATGTCTAACTTACCTAATTCAATTTTATCTTAATTTCTCTGCTAGTCTAACCTACCTAATTCGATTTTATCTTAATTTCTTTCCTATTGGTGCTACTTCTACGATTTGAATATATTTATTTCTAATTCTATTTTTTTATTTTACCTCACATCCATTTTAATTATCCCATCTCTACAACTCTTAAGTTACACTTGGTAATGTTTTCGTTTTTTTGATTTCAAAAAAATGAAAACAGTATTAGTTTTTTTTTTGTGGTAAAAAGTTGAAATCGAAAATTTGTTTAATTACAGTTTTTGTTTTAGAAACTTTGAAAACTAAAACAGAAAATGTTTGATAACCACTTTTATTTCTCTAATATTTTATAGCTTTGTATTAATTCTCTACTAAAAAATATATCAAAACTCCTTATCAAGTGATCAATACTCATTACAAAAATGATCAATACCCATTAGAAATTTATCCAATACAAAGTCACCAAACCACCACCAAAAACGAAAAACAAAAAGTCATAGATCTATCCAAAAAAAAATGATCATTTAATAGAATTTATATATATATATATATATGCCTATGTATGTATAGATTTGAGGTTGAGGGATGGGGATTGAGCAAAAATGGAGAGAAGAGCAGCGATGGAGAGTAGATCTGAGATAGGGAGATCGTTTTCCAGCAGAGAGTAGATTTGAAGATGGGCGTTGCTTTGTAACGGTGACACTAACGAGAGAGAGATAGAGAGGACAGATAGGAGAAAGAGAAGAAGGATAAAAATATGGGGTCTAAATACTTTCACCAAAAAATAAGATTTTTGTTGCTAATGGGATTCGATGGGTGGACCTCACTAAAGTCCCCCTCCCCTGCACGTGTTTCTGTTTTTTTCCCCTTTTTCAAAACATAATTTTTTTGTCTAAAAATTTGGAGCTTGTTTTCAAAAAAACTTAGATGGAAAAAAAACAAAAACAACTACCGAACGCTTTTTTTTTTGTCAAAAACGAAAACAGAAAACATAAAACAAAAATGTTTACCAAACAAAGCCTTAGTTTTTGAGCTTATACTTTCTTACTTGCCCAACACCTATGAGACAGATACGAATACGGGAATGATATGATACAAAAATGGTTATTCGGTAAAAGCTAAACAAATAGATACGAATACATCCGGGATATGCATACAATAAAATATATCATATATTTTCTACTATTATCTAGTGATTATTTTACTTTTAAAAAAATATAGATCGTATCATAAAGGTATATCTACAAATTTGTAGGTGGCTAATAAAAAGAACTAGAATCAATATTTAAGTAGCTGAACTTAGAAGTGCTTGTTACAAAATTAGAGAGTAAATTGACCCATTTTATTTTCGTTTGATATGTGGTAGTAGATAATACTTGTGAAACACCCTCCTAATTTCAAAGATATAGGCTTTTTTATTTATGTGTGTCATTGTATTTGATTTCAAGTTGAAACATCAAAGATTAAAATTTATACATGTCGCTCTGTATATTCCTTTGTATATCCAAAGCATATTTGTCTTGAATACCCATACTCGAAATGTATTTAGAAATAAAAAAATATTTTATCAACTATTAGGTACGTGTAATCTTTATCCGATATGTATGCCAAAATAAAAAAAATATTTCTTAAAATTTGAATAAGTGTATTGTGTATAGGATGCGTATTTTCGAGTATTTGACGCGTATCATATCTAATCGTTATTCATTATTGGGTTAATGATTGTTGTATAAAACTTATCTTTCAACCTAAAGGGTATACGATGGTCACATAACCTGCTAGATGAATTTCTCCACTTAGTTCATCCTACTTTAATTCTTTTTTTTTTTTTTTATAAACTTATTATGAGAAAAGAAATTCCTTTAATTACGTTATCAACGACTCATTACAATCCAAATCTAGAATAGACCTGAGTCACCCAATTTGTAGGAAGGGACCGGTTTACACACTTAGCCGCAACCTAATGAGCCGGTTTGTTTAGGGTTCTAGGTAGTTTGCTGAGATTCAAATTTAGCATTCTGACATTTGTTTTGATATCCTCAATGAAGACTACAATTTCCCATGGAGGAACAATTTGCGTTGAGCTGAGATGGATGATCTCTGCACTATCACTCTCTATCATTGCATTTTGTAGTTGCACAGATCTCGCCATCATGCAAGCTTCCCTAACAGCAGCTGCCTCCGAAAATCTGCTTGACAGTGCTGCAATTGACTTTGCTCTGCCATCCGCTAGTTGTCCTCTACGATTTCGAACAATTATACCCATTGTTGTTTGGTTGTGGCTTTAAAGGCCCCATCACAGCTGATCTTTAAAGAGTTTCTACTTTTGGGGGTGGGGGGGTCTAATTCACAGAGACAATTGATCTCTCATCTGGGTTTGGTCTGCCACTTTTGTCCTTTCTTTGAACTGTGCAATATTCTCCCTACATGTTTTTTGCTTGGCATATGGTGGTTAAATGATGGGGTTTCTTACCATTAAAAATCGCCTAATTCCTTGCTTTCCATATTGTGCAACCAGTAGTGGTTATCTTGCTAAGCAAAGTTCTAGATTGCTTTTGGTTGTTTACTGTTTCCTGCACAGCAGTGGTCCATTGTTTAACTGTGAAGAATGCTTGTTGTTGACTCTGTATCCCACATCCATGCCAAACCATACTCTTTTTGTCCAGTCGCATTAGAACAACATGTGGTCCACTATTTCCTCACAAACAAGTTCCTTTGTGTGGCTAGAGCATTTGTGCAAGCCTTCCGCCAAAAGTGTTTGATTTTGGGAGACTATCCATTTTCCATATCAACTGTCAGAGTTGTGGGTGGGGGAGAACGAGGAACCTCCTTGCTGTTTTAGTTTGCAACTTTTACTCTCTCGTGCCACTGGATATCCTGATTTAGCTTGATAGATGCCTTTGGGGTCTAAATGCCATATTCTCTTGTTTCCTCCCTCAATTATGGTCTTAAATTCCTCAACCGATTCCAGGTTCCTTATACATGCTGCCTTCCATTCCCTTTTGTGGGGATTAATTACCTCTTCCGCCTTTGTAATGCAGCAGCCTTGAGTGGTTAACGAAAAGTTTGGTGATGAGATAATCCATTTATCTTCCCAGAATTTCACGTTATTTCTCTTGTGCGGCTGCCAGCGTAGACCCTTTGCCAGAAGATATCTTCCAATCAGTAGACTATGCCATGTCTACAAAGGTCTGGACCCTCTTTTGGCCTCCATGAAGTCATACTTGGGGAAATAAATGGACTTCAACATTCTAGCCTAGAAGGAGTGAGGATTTTGTATTAAGCACCAACATTGTTAAGCTAGCGGAGCTTGATTGAAGTATTGTAAGACGATGGGTATTAATGAGCCCTCGCAGATTGCAGACTGTCCATGGTCGCCCTACTCCTGACAGTTTGAAGACAGAATTAACATGGGGCGTGTGGTTGTTTTAGGTCGGTCACCACGGCCTTTCCGAAGCTTGTTGAAGTAGGTTCCTTTGGGAAAGTGCTAGGCACTTGTGAGATCCATTGTGTCGGTTGTTCTCCTCTTGTTCCTCCATTGTCATCCCTTCCTTTTTATCTTGCTCACTGTTCTGTTGTACTGCTACGTCAATTAGATTCTATCTGAAGGAGCACATAATTATTGTGCGTGATTTGAAGTTTAATGAATCATGCACATGACTAAGGTCACGTGGTTGGCATGTAGACAGCTCGGAATGATGGCAAGATCAAGCTCAATTTGAATACAATCTCGAACATATGACTGAGTTTGGGAAATGATTTTTCCCCCTTTATCAAATGTGCTCGGTCAAACATACCGAACTGTACCAAGCACACAACAGCTCGGACTGAGCAATAAGAACGGATAGAATCCCGCTTTTATGGATGTGAAAATGATTAGGTAATCCCTAGAAATTAGCTTACGGGGCTAAGATGATAAGGAAGTTACTTAGATTATATATCATCGATAAGCCCGAATAAATAGACGAACGGTGAACGCAGGGAAAGATTCCAGAAGCGATCACTGGAAGTTCGGTGCAATGTGGGGTGTACCACCTCACCTCCCCAATGACAGAAACCCTACTTGGAGGTGAACCTTACTACTCCATAAAAGGACCGAGCAAGGCTTAAGTCAAAGGTATGCACTACATTCACTGTAACTAGCCCTGATCATAGTTATTAAATCGTGTATCGGAAGACGTATCGTTTTTTAAAAATAATGTATCGTATCGTATTGTATATCGTAAGATACGGTGCAATTTTAAATAAATAATAAATATATGTACCTTTGAAAAAAAATCATAGACTCATAAAAACATAAAATTTCATTAACACTCCACCAATTATTCAAGTCATCAACATAGTTCACGAATATTATAATACAAAGTTCACACCATAGTTCACTTCTTACAGTGCACAGGACCACAGGTTCGTTGGAGTAGCACAAGGCAGCTGCAACGACTGGCAGCAATTGAAGAAAAAGAAGCAAGTTCCTAAGAAGCAAGGCAGCGACTGAAGGAAGAAGAAGGTAGCTATAGATCCAGATCCAGAGGCAACGATGGGTGTGGAAGACTGGGCCTCGTCGTCGTCAAGAACAGAGAGAAGAAAGAGGGGGCTAGGGTTCTTAACAACGATGGAGACTTGGGCTACTGTGTTTTGTTGTCGAAGGGTGCTGTGATCGTGGTCGAAGGCTGTTGTGATCGTCGCCGTGAAATCTGAAGAACACCTAGGAGTTGAAGACAACGAACAACGAAGAAATGCAGAGGAAAATAGGGATTTTATTTTATTTTTTTAACCCTAGCTATTGAAACGACGTCATTTCAGTGGTTATAGGGATAAAAAAATCAGTCTCAGCACAAAACGAGGCCGTTCCGTTTAAAAAAAAATTAAACAGTCTTTGCACGTATCGTGCATGTCGTAACGATACATATCGTATCGTAAAAACGTATCATGTATAGGACGATACAACGTAAAAACGATACAAAACTACGATCCGTATTGTTTTACCTCCGTATTGTAACGTATTGTACGATACTATCAACTATGGCCCTGGTTACATTGTTAACTTGTATTGATTGAAGCATTAGAGTGCCTCCCACCGGCCCGTCACAGTCTTTGGCATTAGAGTGCCTCTGTCGGCCCATCCTAGCCTTTGGCAGTTTGTTTGTTTTGTAGGGGAGTGGTGCAACATTTTNTCCTGTCGGCCCATCCTAGCCTTTGGCAGTTTGTTTGTTTTGCAGGGGAGTGGTGCAACATTTTTTTTGTTCATTTGATCCCAAACAAATCATATATTTTGCTAGAGATTTTTCTACCCCTTATAATTGGCGCCGTTTGTGGGAATCCTTGAACAAAAAATACAATGTTAAGACTACGAAATACAATTGGGTCACCTATTAACGATGACACTGAGTATGTCCCCAATCAAAATTACGAAGTGTCCTTCCCTTAAATAGCGATATCAGAAAAGATGCCTTTGGAAGCCAAAATGAATATCCTGATGATCAGTGTTATTTAAGGCGTAAAGTGAACCGAAGGGAATTGGTCTCTTGAGGCCTAAGGAAGAAGCGATAGGCAAAGCGAGTGCTTCATTGAAGAGAAGCGCACATTATAAAAAACAAGCAAATATTTCAGTTTGATTACTTCTAAATATTCAAATTCTAACTTATTAAATACTAGATATTTAAAGGCAACCATACAGATTGATCACAATATCATCAAAATAATGTAATTCAATTTAATTATCTAACCCAATAAAAAGTTACAAAATTTAATAAACCAGTTGGCATTAGCAGCAAAATCCAATGACTCCAGAAAATCATAACGGATTAACACCAAAAAGAAAAAAGAAAAAAAAACAAAGACAAGGTTCCAGCAAAAGCAACATCACAACAAAAAAAAAACAAACATATTCCTAGTAGGAGAAGAAGTAGAATAGGAGAAGAACAAAAAGAACCAGAAAAATCAGAAGAAGAAGAAGAAGAAGGGGGAAGAAGTAGAAGAGGAGAAGAAAAACTAGAAAAATCAGAAGAAGAGGGAAAGCAATAGAAGAGGAGTAGAAGAATAACTAGGAAAATCAGAATAAGAAGTAGAAGGGGAAGAAGAATTAGAAAAATCAAAATCTTAATCAGAAAATTAGAAGAAGAATAAATAAAATTGAAGAAGAAGAGAAAATACTTTCAGAGTAGATCTCGTGAGCTTCCTAGCCGCAGCTTGATGCAGGTAGGAGCCGTCACTGGTGAGTGTTGCAAGGAGGGGAAGAATCAGAAGAGAAAAAAAAAGAAGAAGAGAACATACCATCTAGTTAGTGGCTTCCCTTCTGGTGTCTGGTGAGTGGCTTCTTCCGGTCTCAAATTAATTTGTTGATTAGGCATATATATATATATATACACAATCAGCTGGTTTTGAAATATCTAATTTTTGATCCAATTAGATCAATCCAACAACCAATAATAGTTTCAGACAGAAAATTAAAAAGCTTTAGTCATGTGCTCGTCTTTCTCGCCCNCAATTAGATCAATCCAACAACCAATAATAGTTTCAGACAGAAAATTAAAAAGCTTTAGTCATGTGCTCGTCTTTCTCGCCCGGCTCGCTTTGTTGCCTGGACTCGCTTTTTCCTCGCTTCTTTGATATTCACATCCTATTGACTATTCCAGGCAACCTTTGGTTGCCTTGCCTCGCTTCTCGCCTAGGTGAGCGCCTAGGGTTGCTCTTCAAAACATGGCTAATGATCACGATAACCTTTCATCGACAAGGTACAACCCTGAAGATGAGGCGCAAAAGGAAGGATTGCACCAATAGAAATCCTCCCATGCCGAGGGGGAAATCCTTTAGGACTTTTGCATTCTTCTTGTGTAAAATCCTTTTGGACTTTTGCCTTTGTTGTTATACCACTGACCATTGTGCTGCTTTGGAACTATTGTTTGAATCATTGGGATACTCTATCTCATTTCAGGCGTCGTAATTGTTTTTTTGAATGGTGGGAGTTGTCATTTTCCTCTTCTTCTATTACTTGCGCTTTCCTCTCAAATTAATTTTTTTTTTCAGATCTGTTATTACTTGACACTCTTCCAGGTCTATGCTTGCATGTATTTGATGTAGGCCAAGTTCAATTTTCTTCCTACCGACCGAGTGAGTTAATAAGATTTGAAATGTTTGCATTTCATCCATATGGCCGACCTTAGGCATCACATTGTTCGCAATTATCTTAGTAAGGATTCTAGGTACATCAAGCATGTCTCTTAGACTAGCCTTTTCCCCACCATTGTAGTCATCACCACAGAGCAATTTCATGGCAGCATTTGTATCTTNTACATCAAGCATGTCTCTTAGACTAGCCTTTTCCCCACCATTGTAGTCATCACCACAGAGCAATTTCATGGCAGCATTTGTATCTTCAGTTACATCTCCTAGGATAACCCCGACCAAAAGAAGACCTTATCACCACTATTTCGAGTTTCAATGATATTTGAGAGCTTTTTTTCATCTAGGGTTATTTGGACCCCATTTATTAGAGATTTAACGGCGCCTCTTTTGTTTATCGTTTGATTTGCCTAGAACATGCGTATAAGGTGTGGGTAATACAACTCGTCAATTTCCATTTCCTTAACTGCATTCGATATTGTCAAGCAATTGATCAATACTAAGGTATGATAAATGAAGAGTAACAATGGGATTACCTCCAATACATTTCCTTGGCTTGTAGCAGTTTCATCTTCTCTCTACATTCATCATTTTGGAATTGCAAATTATGATTTTTTTCATCCTTTTTTCCTTGGGTAGGGCAGATGTGGAACATCCTTTGGTTTTTGGAGAGATTGATTTGATGAAAGATGAATAAGATGATGAATTTTATGGTGGATAATGAGAGAATCTTTATGGGTGATGCAAAATCATTGAGTTTTGGGAGAGAATTTTATGATTGCAAATGAGATTTGAGGGTTTTGGAGGGATAGGGTTTTGGCGTGAGAAGAAGAGAATAGCATGTGACCAGTAAAAATGACCTAGATTTGGGGATTTGTAGCCCAAGTTATGGTTTAATGTTACGGCATCGGCCATCGACAGGAGGGCACTAATACACATCGGTCGTGGCAGGAGTATCAGCCGATATGCAAAAAAGGCTTAATATTAGGCCCAAAAAATTCTAAAAAAAGAGTACAAAAAATCCTAAAAAAGTAAGCAACAATACCCATACCTCATATGTCCAAAATAGTTAAGACTCAAAGCCATAATTATTGTCTCAAGTTGATTACAAAAACTGGGAAGTTATTTTCATCATAAGGATAACTCTAGATCTAATGTAATTTCAATATTTACTTTACATAATCAAGAAAAAATAAAAATGCAAAAAACATTATGCTGATTTAGATATGTTTTTTTTATCTTACATATGTATTATGGTTTAATTATGAAATCTATTTTTATATGTATACAAAATTAATAGAGTACAATTTTGTTATACATGTCAAATACCAACTTACACTTTTATTTTTGTTTAATATAATAATACTATTAGTATAATAAGTCTTTGACTCAGCTGACGCGTTCCCAAGAAACAAGTGAGTGTCCTAAGAATTGACACGTTCCACTAGTGCTTACTCAGCTGACACGTTCACAAGAAACAAGTGAGTGTCCTAAGAATTGACATGTTCCACTAGTGCTTTTTCTATCCACTTTGATTCCGGCAAATCGGCATTTGATTAGATCACTAGGTAAAATGATCTACCCTTAGGATAACATAATCTAAAGTTTGTAGTCCATCCTAGATATCTAAAAATTCGCTTAACAACATTTAGATGTGATTCTTTAGGATTGACCGGAAACCTACCACATATACATGCACTAAACAATGTTGGGTCGACTAGCCATGAAATAAAGTAAACTACCAATTATACATCAATGAAGCTTAACATCTACTTCTTCTCCATTTTCATCCTCATCAAGCTTGAGCGAAGTACTAATGGGAGTTCCATACGATTTAGTATTTTCTAATCCGAATTTCTTTAGAAGCTCTTTTGTATATTTGGATTGATTTATAAAGATTCCTTCATTTCCTTGCTTTATTTGTAGACCTAGAAAGATGTTTAGTTCTCTCATTCATTGCTCAAAATCCATATGTAAGTGATTCAGTAGTGACACCAAATATAATGTCATCTACATATATTTGAAAAAATATCATCATGATGAACTTTAATAAATAGGATAGTGTCTACTTTCCCATCAAGAGTCCATTCTCTAGTAGGAACTTGCTCAATCTTTCATCCCAAGCTCTAGGTGCTTGTTTTAACCCATATTATGTTTTTGTTAGCGAGTAAACATGATTTGGATTTTTATGTTCATCAAATCCATGGGTTGTTCTACTTATACTTCTTGCATTATGTAACCATTTAATTTGATATAATTTGAAGTCTTTATAGCAAGCAACATTCTTATCGTTTCTAATCTAGTTATCAGAACAAATGTCTCGTCATAATCAATTTTTTGTTGATTATATCCTTGAGCCACTAGTCTAGCATGATTCCTAATTATGTTTCCATCCTCATCTAGCTTATTTCTAAATGCCCAATTACTTCCAATAATGGTCACATCATTGGATCTAGGAACTAATTCACATACTTTACCCATTTCAAATTGATTTACTTCTTCTTGCATTGCAATTATCCAAGATGATTTATTTATGCTTCATTTATGTTCTTTGGTTCTATTTGATATAAGAATGCTAAATTATTACAAATTTTTGTTAGATTTGATATAGTTTTGACACCTTAAGATGGATCTCCAATAATTTGTTCTATTGGATGATCGCTTACTCTTTTAAATTCTTTGAGGAATTCTTGAGACGTGGATTCTTCATGTTTGTCATTTTGTGAGTCATTTACTTTGAGTTGTTCAAATTTGAAATTGAAATCTAGTTCTTCATTGTCACCTATGTGTTTGATTATATGTGGACTTGATTCATCAAATACAATATGCATGGATTCTTCCACCACCAATGTTCTTTTTTTAAAAACTATATGCTTTATTATAAGTTGAGTAACTTAAAAATATTGCTTCATCCGATTTAGCATTAAGCTTTCCTAAGTGATCTTTTGTGTTTAAAATAAAACAATGCATTTTCATCCAAACACTTTAAAGTACCCTACCTTAGCTTTCCTATTATTTTATAACTTATAAGGTGTCTTTTCAATTATATGTCTAATAAGAGCTCTATTCAAAATATGGCATGAACAATTTACGACCTCACCCAAAAATATTTGGACATTATATTCATTGAATATTGCTCTACTCACTTCGATTATTGTTCTATTATTTCAACTACACCATTTGTGGGGGTGTTCTAGGTGCTAAAACTTCATGACCATATCCTTTTATTAAGTAAAATTCTTCAAACTTATCTTCGTCAAATTCAACACCATGATTAGTTCTAACAAGTGTTATCAGAGTTGGACTAGACTTAGACCGGCCGGTTGGATCGATAAACCAGTGAACCAGACCCATAATCGGTCTGGTTTACTTAAAAGATTACTAGGAAACTTATAAATCGGTCGATTTTTGCCAAAACTAGTGAACCAGATGGTTTTCTAAATCTGCCTGGTTCTAAACTTACTATAATAAACTTGAAATATTTGGAAGAGATGAAAATGATACAAACTAAGTGTAGATCCCTCGTATATATAGCCAATGAAAGTTTATAATAAGGATAAAAAGATAAAACAAAATAAACCCTAATAAACTAGGTTGTTATATCTCCAACACTGCCCCTCAAGTTAGGTGCAAAAATGTCAATTAAGTTTAGCTTGACAATGTAGTCCAGAAGAATGGATAGAGTGATAGGTTTGGTGAAAATATTCGCAACTTGATCACTGGTCCCCACGAACGATGGAGTGACAATACCATTGCTAACCTTCTCTCGAAGGAAATGAACATCGATTTTTATATGCTTCGTCCTCTCGTGTAATACAGAGTCAGAAGCGAGCTGAATAGTATATCGATTATCACAATATAATGTAGATGAAGAAGTCACTGGAAATCCCAACTCGCCAAGAATCGATCGTAGTCAGATAATCTCACATGTGCCAAGTGCCAATGTCCGATACTCTGTCTCTGTTGACGAGCGAGAGACAATTGACTGCTTCTTCCTTTTTCAAGAGATAAAAATGAGTCCCTTGAAAAGCACAGAAGGCCGTAGTTGATCGACCATCACACGTTCCTCCATAATCTGAATCTGAATAACAGGCTAGAGAATCAGTCTGAGATCCTGATGCATAGAACAACCCAAGTCTAAGACAAGACTTAAGGTACCGAAGAATATGATAAACTGTATCAAGATGAGGCTGATATGGTCTGTGCATGAACTGACTAACTCGGCTGATAGTAAATAAAATGTCTGACCTAGTGTTAGCTAGGTAGATAAGTCTACCCACCAACTTCTGATAGACAATCGGATCTCAATTCCTCACCTCTGCTTCAGGTTTGGAATCATGAGTGATGATGTTGGTTTGCACCCCAACATTCCAGTGTCTGAGAGAAGATCCAGAATATACTTTCTCTGAGAAAGAACAATACCTTTGCTGCTACAGACAACCTCAATCCTAAGAAAGTTTCGTAGAAATCCAAAGTCCTTCACATCAAAGGCCTTCCCAAGGTCTACTTTGACCTGCGCAATCCCAGAAATATTATCTCCAATAATAATAATATCATCAACATATACCAAAAGGATGACACACTGTCCAAAAGTATTCTGTCGAATGAAGCAAGTATGATCAGAATGACATCTGGTGAATCCTAAACGTACAACTACATCACTAAAGCGGGAGAACCAGGCTCGTGGTGACTGTTTCAGTCCATAAAGAGACTTCCGTAGTCGACATACCTTTCTGGCATACTCTCCCTCACCACGAAAGCCCGGTGGTGCATCTATATAAATAATCTTGTCTAGTTCATCATGAAGAAATTTATTCATCACATCCAACTGATGAAGAGGCCAAGAGTACTCCGCAGCTAGAGAAATAATCAATCGAACAGTAGTCAATTTTGCCACGGGAGCAAAGGTCGCACCAAAATCACGACCTGGTACCTGAGTAAAGCCCTCTGCCATAAGTCTAATCTTGTGACGATCAATAGTACCATCTGCAAGAAATCTTAGGGTGTAAATCCAGCGACAGCCAACAGGCTTCGTCCCTGAAGGTAAAGAGACAAGATTCCACATATGATTACGCTGAAGAGCGTCCATCTCTGTCTACATGGTAAGAATCCACTAGGGCTCCTGCATAGCCTTTGAAACAGAGTTAGAAACCGGCGTATCTGATAAGGCCATACTATATGCTCAAAATATAGGAGAAAGATCACTATAAGAAACATAAGCAGAGGTCGGATATAAA